CTCTACTAGGACTTCTTCCATGCGTATGTTCAATCATTAATTCTACTTCAACTCGGTTGGCGGTGGAAACTTCATACGATGGGACAACTTCAGGAATTACACCAATCGTTCCATCATCCCGCCGATCGAAGGTGTACTTCGGACGTATCGTACTCTTCTAAACACACTGTTATTTTACCATACATATTCTAAAGGCAAGATACCACTCTTACGATATCTTCCGATAGGTGTCATTCACTATCATAAGCCTTTTCATTTCCTCCATTTACTCAATTTACTACGAGCCTTCACCATTACGTTACGTTCAAGGAAGCATGCGTTCAGCGCATCAAGACGAGAATATAGATAGAGAAGATTTAGACGTGTAATCCTCCTTATTACTCCGAAAAGTTACATGCCAGTTCTAATACCGTAATTAAACGTTTAGAATTCTGAACACATAAAGTTTCCAGATCCGGTCGGCAACAGACCATAGATTCGATCATATAATGCATATCATAAATCATTTAGCACATAAAGCATGTTAGGCATTTTCCCTAAATAAGCTAGTGCTTGTGTCAATTCAGGTGTATTACCTAAATTTTATTAGACACACTCCTCACGATCATCTCTTAGCATTCTAAGTTTAAGTCTAGAAATAAATCCTTATTCCTAGTTCGCTTAAACTAATGCTCTGATACCAACTGTGACATCCCCATTTTCACGGCCAGAAAAGACCGATTTTGTTTATGCTTTATAAAAATCAGAGTACCCTTTTAATAAAAATGTTGCGGAATTTGTTCCCAGAAAAAAAACATGATAAATACGTTATCAAAGCATTTCCGAAGAAATGTATTTTATTCATTTTAAAACATTGGGATGTCATCGTCAATACAGAAACATAAGCATAAACAGAACTTACATTCATTATCATTAGTGACTTATATCTCCTTAATCTCTCAGTGTAATGTAACTTCATATCGACACCTGTGATTCAAATAAACTGAGTGGGTCAGGTTGGGAAACCTGGTGAGTACATAGGGTTTTCAACCCACAATAATATAATTATTATGTTTAAACATCAAACAATCAACCCAATTACCCATCCCCATTATCTTCTTTACTCTTAAGGATCTACCCTAAGAATCAGCTATTCCTCGTTCATTCATTCCTAAGGATCATCCTAAGGAATCGACACGAAGTCCATCGTTGCCACGGTTTACACAACGGGCACTAAGTCTGCATAGTCGCCAGGGTTTAGGCACCAAGTCTGCATGGTCGCCAGGGTTTAGGCACCAAATCTGCATGATCGCCAAGGTTTAGGCACCAAGTCTGCATGGTCGCCAGGGTTTAGAGTACACCGGTGAACACATCGTTCACAACACCTACAGGTTGCGAGCCTGCTAGTGTTCCACTGGACTGTCTAGAATAGTCCGTGGTTGTCATCCATACTCTGCTAGATGACGGGGCCAACATTTGGGAACAAGGCTTCTCACATCGTCCACCTCTCACCCTTACCTCATGGTCTATATCATCTCTCAACTTATCATCCACCTCATATTTCATCTACCTATGTTTTACCCAACATATTACGTAGATATAAATAAATATACAGTTTAAATCATATAAAACTTGTATAAAATCGTTCATCCAGAATAGATAACAAGTATACAGATAATATGCACACATAACACGTAGTTTATATAAAATACTTCATATTTATCTGTAAGATGAAAGTAACTATGCACTCACCTGGTAGGGTGGTGACTCGGTACTCGGACAACACTTCGTTATCTCAAAACAATTATCCCTTGACAAAACCTAGTATCAATACCACTAGAGTTTAGTCCGACGTTAACCGCGACTAATTAATAGTCTAGCTATTATTACTATTATATAAGCGTTTAAACAATATTTTCCAACCACTATGTACAGACAGGGGCCAGACATAAAAACACCGGAGGGCAGGACTATTTTGGCATATAACACTTCTGAAATCCAACAACCCTATGCGGCCCTTTAAACCAGATTCTCCGTATCGCGAGTGGTCAACGACACTCATATAACTCATAAAAATAGCCCAAATATTTATTATAAGGTCCTAATAACATTACTATATTTAAACATAAGCTATACTTAAGGTAGGGTAAGCATATCTCACTTACCAGGGGTTTGGCTAGGAGCCGGGATCTGCAGGGGCAGAACTTCCGAGCCGAAATCTCTTCTTCTCGGAGCCTTCCGGCGCTCCGGGACTCGCCTCTAACACCTAGGAGGTGCTAGGGAAGGGGGAAGAGGGTTTGGGGGTAATGGGAGAGAAAGAGTATGAAAGGTGTGAGTTTTGGGGGTGATTTATGCCTCTATTTATAGGCTGTCTGGGCCGATTCACGTCGTGAGAAAGGGTGCTCACGTCGTGAGCCTTGCGTAGGCTCTAAGGCGAAGTGTGGTGCTGACACGTGGCGCCGGACGCAGGTAAAACAACCAATCTTTAAAAATTCATAACTTTCGCATACGAACTCCGTTTTTGACGTTCTTTATATCCACACGTAGGTAAAGACAAGATCTACGAATTTCCTTTTGACCCATCGGCTAATTCTCGACCGATTTTAAATTTAATAGTATGAGAAGATTACACTGTTAAATGTCCGCGTAAAATTCGTAACTTCTTCATACAGACTCCGTTTTCGTTTGTATTTTTATCGTTGAGTTCCTATTAATGAGATCTTCAACTCTCATTTAGGTCGCGTAAGCCAAAAACTGCTCGAACTAAAATTCGAGTTTCGGTCCGTGCACTGCTAAGCCAAATCTTAGAAAATTCATAACTTCATCATACGAAGTCAGATTTGGGCGTTCTTTTCATGCACGCTCTCGGTTTAACGTATTCTACGACTTTCGTTTAGATCGCTAAGGCTAAAATTCGCTCTATCGTAAATTCACTATTTACGTCTCCCGGTGCCGTGCCGGTTTTGTCGCGAAACTTCGACAGGTCATAACTCCTTCGTTATAACTCGGATTTCGGCGTTCTTTATATGTGCGAAACCCTTGTAACATATACTATAACTTGGTTAAGATTAATACTTCTAAATAATATTTTATCAAAAAGTCGTTTTCGACACTTATTGTCTCTAAATTGACTAGCCCGGATCTACGGGCGTTACACCGAGATCCTGCGAAGTACCTGAAACACATAACACATAACACAGTAAGCACAAAGCTTAGTGAGTTCCCCAAAATCCCACTCGTAAATCATCAGCCTCTCATGGCTATACTCAGATAAGACCCTCTGGTCAAATGTGTCTTAGTGGGACCCTCTGGTCCCACAACTCAGATGGACCCTCCGGTCCCTCAACTCAGTAACTCAATTTAATACACATCATACATATCACAAAGACAAATAAGCAGGATAACTCAATACATAGTATATGCACATAAGACCCTCCGGTCACACATAGATTACCACTCAAGGCAAGTATAGTGAGAAGACTCACCTCGTAAGAACTCGGATAGTCTCGAACTCGAATCACCGGTCTAGCCTCCGCCTAACACAACGATAATAACCCCTAATTAATAAGGCTCTCACTGAAGCTAAACTAACCCTTCTACAAACTCACAGAAGGGAAAAAGACAATTTTACCCCTCTATGGCCTTATAGTCCACAAATTGACCAAACCCTAAAAGTCAACCGAAAGTTAACGCAAGGGAGTACGCTGCACGTACCAGCTCTCTACGTTGGGCGTACTCGGCTGTCATGCAAGTCATCGGGGATGCTCGACCTCTACGCTACGCGTATTGGGATTACGCCCAGCGTACATCCCAGTTTCACTCTCCTCACGTTTTTGGTCTTAATCCGTTAAGACATTGGCTCATATCACAGATCTGGACTCCATAATGTCTCTTAATCCATAAAGTCAGTGACTTTAAGCGTTTGCATGGCTGATTGGGTCACTAACACTCAAAACATCCATCCTCTTTCCTCATGAAGCTCATATCTCATGCATGGCTTACTCCTAACGTCCAAGATTGGATTTTTATCACTCTATTCCACAAAATACACTGAAAAGGGGTATATCAAGGTCTTTGGAGCTCATTATCTCATAAAGTCTCCATCTTTTGGGACAAAACCCTAAAATACTCCATATAATGCACAAAACAAAATAGCGAGAAAGCTTGAAGCTTTATACCTCTATGTGAAGCTTTCCTCACTGCTAAGCTCAGATCCAAAAGCCTGGACTCTCACCCTTCTTCTCCAAAGCTCCTTCTCCTCTTTAAAAACACAAGATTATGCTCACAAGCTCTCCAATGCACTCTCAAGCTAAGAAGACGAATATTTAGGGTTAAGAGGGGTTTGGTGTCTGGGAATGGTGGCCAGGAATGAGGCCATCACTTCCTTTATATAGGTCCACACCTCAAATTAGGGTTTTCATTCTGGGCCTAGTACGCCCAGTGTACCCTCTGGTACGCCCAGCGTACTAGGTGGCCTCCGCGTCCAATGCACGCACATGAGTACGCTGAGAGTACACTCTAGTACGCCCCACGTACCTATTTATCACTTTTTCTCTATAAAGGGCCAAATGAAACAAATGCTCAATAGATTAGGGTTCACAAGGTATACCTGGACTTGGGGTGTTACACTGCAGCCTTTGCTTATCTTATGGAAACAAATCCCAAATCTTGGAGTAGAGCATTTTTTCAAAAGGGAAAGATGTGTGATGTAGTGGAGAATGGATTATCTGAGAGCTTCAACAGTGTCATAAGGGATGCTAGGAAAAAGCCAATCATTACCATGTTAGAGGAGATTAGATTGTATGTTATGGAGAGAATATACAATTTAAAGATTAAAGGTAGTTCATGGCCTGATTACAAGCCTTGCCCAACAATTACACTCCTACTGAATCAATTAAAAAAAAGCTCAAAGGTACTTTCTAATCTTTAAACTCATAATTGTATGTAATTACTTATGTTATGTCTACATTAGGTATTGACAGGTTTTACCAAGTGGTCTAAACCAATTTGAAACAAGAAACATGGCTGATTCGTATGTTGTTGACCTGGACAAGAAGACTTGCACTTTTAGAGTGTGGCAACTTAATGGGTATGGATGTGTGCATTCAGTTGCAACTATATCATTTCTCAATAGTGATGTTGGTGGTTATGTTGATACAATGCTCTATGGAGCAGTCTACAAGAACACCTATAAGTATCTAATTCAGGGGATGAATGGTAGCAATATGTGGCCACCTACTGACTTCATACCACCTCTTCCACCAATGAAGAGAAGAATGACAGGTAGAACAAAGGTTAACAGAAGACGAGATGCATCAGAGAAGCTACCAAGGCACACTGTGTCTAAGGCATGGAAAAAAATATCATGCAGTGTGTGTAAAAATGTAGGGCATAACAAGGTCACATGTCCTTAAGTTGAAAGACCTCAAGGGCAAAAACCTTAAGTTGAAAGACCTCAAGGGCATAACATTTAGTTGGTAGGAGGCCCAAACTAAATGTTAAAAAAAGGAAAACAGGTGTCAATGAAAATGGTGAAGGAGCAGGAGGTGTCAATGAAAAAGGTGTTGATGCAGGAAGTTGTGGAACAAAATCAGTGCATGAAGGGCAAAAGGGTCAAGGAACAGAAGGTGTTGCAACTGGAAGGAGATCTAAAAGAAAGAAATCAGAGAGAATCATAAAGATGAAACTTGCTAAGAGGGTGAAGGGCAAAGATGGGAAAGGAGATACCAGTGCAAACCCATTGGAGCTTAATGATTAGGATCTTATTTCGTTTAAGTTGTTATCTTTTAACTTGGTTGTGTTTGGTTGGATTTAAATGTTAAGTTTGGAATTGGGTTGTAGTAGGTTATTAAGTTTGGAATTGGACAAGTGGTTATGTTTTAACTTGGTTGTGTTGTAACTGACTTTGTTTATTAGCGGAATTTGGTGTGTTTAAGAAGTGGTCCAATAATTTGCTTGTTCATATTTCGTGCATACAAAACACATCAAAGCTAAAAGATAACAACTTAAACGAAATAAAGTACATTACAAGTTATATAACAACTTAAACGAAATAAAGTACATTACAAGTTTCAAAACACATCAAAGTGCATTACAAGTTACATAACAAGTGGTTCAATTGACCTTCATTACAACTTGTACATGATTAAACAGAAAAAAAATACCCAACTACATATTAGGTAAACCTTCAAATTAAAGACCTCAGCTTGAAGCTTTTTGTTCGACTTAAACAACCCATTTATGATCACACATTCATTGTTGCACTGCGTTTCATCAACCCAAGCTATAAAACCTGAACGAGCATCCTGATTCCAACTATTTGCTTGAATTAATACATCTTAAAAAAAGTATGGTTAACATCAAAATTTGAATAAATGGTAAATTACCTTTTTCGGGCATGCATAAAAGGGTCTTCCTGGGTTATTGGCAGTACGAGATGTTCTTATTATAGCCTCAGCTCCACATCCACATTCCATGTTCTTCATTATGTATCTTCAAAGTGGAGAGTATTTGTGTAACATCCTAAGTTCAGAAGCAAGAAGTTAGAGGGTGCTAAGTGTAAATTAAGGAAGCTACTCGACGAGTAGGTATGCTACTCGTCGAGTCGGAGCGGGATTTGATCGCGGGTTAAGTGGCCAACTCGCCGAGTCGGAAGATGTACTCGACGAGTTGGTGCTGGAATAAGGAAAACCCTAATCCCGAGGGTTGCACCCTATTTAAAGGACTTTATGTCCTCCTCCCAGCCTCCTAATCCCCCAGAGAGTTCCAGAAAACCCTAATTTCGTGTGAGACTTCATTGTTGAGGAGATTGGAGCTTGGAAGAGGAATTTGGTGGAAGGAGCTTGAGAAATTAGAGGCTAGCATCAAGGGGCTTGTGTAGATCTGGGATCTACATCAGTTTGGGCACATCTCAGAGGTAAGGAGCCATTATCTTAAGCTATTTCCTTTTTGGGTTCATCCTTGGTGGTTGATTTGGAGTTCCTTAGCTTGTTTGAGATCTATTTCGGGTTTGGAGTTTAGATCTGAGGTTGCTACTCCAGATCTAGGCTTGTGATGGTCCAAATTGTCATAAAGCTTCTGTTTAAGAGTTGTTGGTGAAGCCCCCTAGTCCTTAACCCTAGCCCTAGTGTGTTTTGGGCCTATATCTCCTTGGTTTCACGTAAAGTTTGCAACTTTATGTGAGGGTTAGACTGTAGAAGAGTGGATCTATGGATTGGAGCCCCTGCATGGCTCGAAAAGCCTCTGTATGGATTGAGAACTGGAGAGACTCGGCGAGTCACATGGGTGTACTCGGCAAGTTGTATGAACATGTGCATGGACTCGGCGAGTTGGAAGAACAACTCGGCGAGTCTGTTGAAGATTGCCTTGGACTCGGCGAGTCTGTTCTTGGACTTGGCGAGTCTGGTCGCAGAACCCAACCTCTTTTGGTTAAAGCTTTGGATTAGTGAGTCGGTTGGCGACTCAGTTAGTTGGACAGGATGGAATTCCGAGATCGTTGAACTCGACGAGTCTTGGGGCGACTCGGCGAGTTGAGTTGTGTTACGGGAGTTTTCTGAGTATAAGAACTCGACGAGTCGACGGGTTGACTCGGCGAGTAGAGTCAACCAGGAAGGTTGACTTTGACTGAGGACTTTGACTTTGACCAAGAGTTGACCAGTTTGACTTCCAAGGGTATTTTGGTAATTTTCGTATTTTTGGAATTGGTTCTTTGGTAGCGTTCTGTGGTGAAGTTCGTGTCGGTGGTCGGAGCAGCTTGGTCGTATCTCTTCAGTCGGCAATTACAGGTGAGTTATCCTCACTATATCGACAGGGTCTACGGCACCAAGGCCGGCCCTTTATCGGATGGAAATCCGGGTATTCTATGTTATGTTATTGCCTTGCTAGATCTGCATCCTGGTATTTAGGATGGTGTTATGTTAGTGACCTGGTTAAGGTCGATACCCGGTATATAGGGTAATGTTATGTTAGTGACCTGGTTAAGGTCGGTACCCGGTATATAGGGTAATTTTATGCTAGTGACCGGTTAGGTCGGAATCCTGGTTAGGATGTTGATATGCTATGTGATCTGTTAGACTGTTTGTCTGGTGAAGGATTTGTTATGTGATTAATTGTTTTATGTACACATGGTTGTTTGATGGGGGTTGGGTTGAGGCGGGTCCTGCTTTGTGCTGTAGGCCAACATACCCAGGGCGGACCGGATATTCCGAAGACCCAGCGAGCGGTCCGGATAGGCTGAAGGCCCCAAGAGGGCGGACCAGACGTGCCGAGGCTCGGAGAGTGGACCAGGCCGACTGAAGGCCCGGTGTGGGCGGACCAGTCATACTGTAGACTCAGAGAGTGGACCAGGTGGATTGAAGGCCCGGTGCGGGCGGACCAATCACACTGTAGACTCGATGTACATGGCTAGACTCGGAGGGTGGACCAGGTGGACTGAAGGCCCGGTGCGGGCGGACCAGTCACACAGTAGACCCGATGTGCATGGCTGTTCTATTTGTGATATGTTATGAGTATGTTTATGTGTGGTTGGTATTTTGGGGGTAACTCACTAAGCTTTTGGGCTTACAGTTCAGTGTATTGTTTCAGGTACTTCAGGAGATCGTGGCAAGGCGAAGGCGTGATCGTACCGCTCCTCATTTTTTTGATTTATGTAATATGGTTCTGGGGGATACTCTGATGTTTAAACTATTTTGAAAACAAGATGTATGAACTTAATGGTTTTTGAATGAAATCAAATGTTTTAATTTGGCTCAAATTTTATGGGTGTTACAATTTGAAGAAGAAAACAATGTGCTAGAATGAAACAACTTGGTATATATGAAAGGGTAGTACGTGTAAAAGACTATATTACCCCCACTCTGCAAGGCAAGTGGGGTCCCTAACATCCCTACTTTTTCCTTCTTCCTATTACTATTGCACTTTCAACGGATTATTCAATGAAAATTAACAAGTAATTAAGATAAAAAACAATCAACAAAGTACATCACCCAACTTTACAAAATGCCTATCATTTAGATAGGTCTTTCATTAATCATTGGATTTCACTTACAAAATGTCTGTCATTTAGAGAGGTCTTTTACATATTTCGCCAAAAAAATACAAATACAAAAAAAACACAAACACTACATACTAATAACCTTCTTAACCACGAACCGCCTTAGCTGCAGATCAACCCATCACCCAAGCTTAACAAGGAAATGGAGCACAACCACCGGCAACAAGAGCATCCGCACCATCATGCCACCCATAGCAACACCAACGACTTTAAACTTCTGATTATGGTCATCCAGCTTGTGCTGGAGACTGATGTGGTCGATCCTGCAAACGATATACTCCTGTCCAAGCTGCTCCTTCAACCTTTTCATTTCAGTTTGGTTTTCTGTAATCTTCAGACCATAATCACAGAAGATTGAGTGGAGCACATTGTAGTTGATGTCTTCACCAGAATTTAAAGAGTCGGGTGAAGGTGGTGGAGCCGACATTGTTGCTTTTTAAGGGTTCTTCCAGAGGATTGTTTGCCCGAATATGGTAAACAAGTTTGAGATTTGTTTTACTTCAAACCCCACATGCGTATGTCCCCTTATAATTCGAGACTTGTGCGTGTGACTCAATCGAATCGACAGTGTAAGGTTGTTGGGGTGTTGGTGGAAATTAAAGACGGTAATTACTCTTTGCATGTGTCAGCTTCTGTGTCATCGAGTATGTATACATGACAAGTGACGAGGCAGGTTAACCTGCTAAAATGGGTAAGATGACTTTCCCAATCGGTAAATAACAAGTTTATGTCCTTAAAATGCAAAAAATAGTCACGAGGGACCATTTAAACCATTATACGTAACTTTGTTGGGCAGTAACATTATCTTTATATTTTAGAGTTAAATATGAGAGAAAAGCTGAAAGAGAGAGAATGAACGAATTTAGTCATGGGGAAATAAATAAAATTAAATATTAACTTTGGTTGTTTTCATTACATATAACCCGTTTACAAAGATGATAAAATTTAAAAGTTATACAAAATGTTTTTTTTTCAAGAAATAAACTATATATTACAACGGGTGGTTGCACTCTCATCCTGGTTTTTGCATGGAAGAATCACCGAGGGCGTTTTAGTAATTAACCGTGTCTTTTATCGCATCAAGTATCTACACCCATGATCCAAGTACATCAATAATAATTACTAACGAAAAAAATAAATAAATAAATAAAGACAAAAGACCATTCTAACCTTGTTCTTGTTAGGCATGTAGAATGGCTCAAAAACAAGAGGAAATGGAGTGTCCAAACCACACACTCTAGCAACAGGTGCTTCCAACTACAAAAAAAAAAGTATCCATTTTTTTAATTATAAAAATAAATATAAAATTCAACGTTTGTTTTGAAAATTATATAAAACATATTGTCTAATTAAGTAACTTAC